GCTCTCGAGATTCGGAGGGCGGTGCCTCTTCGATTTTGGAGCAAGCAATCTTGTTGGGAGTGTTTTCTCGAATGTGAGTAAAGGTTGGGCATGTTTGCTAGTCTACCTTGCCACGAAGCACAAAGGTTGACACACAGGGACTTTTCCAATTATCCAGCAGTGGTACTGTTCCTTTACCCTCTCTTCGATTTTTTGAGAAAGTAATCATATTGGGAGTCTGGCTCTCGAGATTCGGAGGGCGGTGCCTCTTCGATTTTGGAGCAAGCAATCTTGTTAGGAGTGTTTTTCTCGAATGTGAGTAAAGGTTGGGCATGTTTGCTAGTCTACCTTGCCACGAAGCACAGAGGTTGACAACACCGGGACTTTCCAATTATCCAGCAGTGGTACTGTTCCTTTACCCTTGTGGGTAATAATATGGTAGCTAGACCTTCAAAATTTATGTGTCTAAACTTTGTTAGTGTTGTTTCTTTGCAATTCTTTTACCCTTCTTGGTCAGAGCGATGTAGTGGGAGCTGCAAGCTTCACGTGTCTCAACTTTGTCAGAGAACTTTGGCAAAGTTATCTGTGGTACCCATGAGCTACTGTTGCGTGTGGGAAGTGGGTGATTGAACAGTACGATTCATGTGCTTTCTACTTCGCCAGAAATCTTCAACAGAATGCCCATAATTTCCGCAAAGCTGAGTGTGCGTGTGACAGGTGCTGACAAGGCTGGAAAAGTAGGTGCCTCTTCGATTTCTGAAATCGGCCCTCGTGGTCTCTGAGCAGCCCAGCTTTTGAGAAAGCAAGCCTCTTCGATTTCTGAGATCGGCCTTTGTGGTCTTTGAGCAGCCCAGCTTTTGAGAAAGCAAACACCTCTTCGATTTCTGAGATTGACCCTCGTGGTCTCTGAGCAGCCCAGCTTTTGAGAAAGCAAACGCCTCTTCGATTTCTGAGCAGGCGCCTCTTCGATTTCTGAAGCTTCGTCGAGTGCAGATTTTTATAGGGGCTGACATTAAGTTCCAAAGCACACTTGAATATCCACCAGTAGAAGCTCCATTCTTGCACTTCTAAGATCTTGATTTGTCCGACCTCTTCTCTCTTCAACACCTTTGAAAATGTCTGGCCCCTCCGACCGTCGTTTTGACATGAACCTTGTTGAAGAGGCAGCCCCGCCTTCTCCAGACATCATATGGCGCCCATCCTTCGTCTCCCCTACTGGTCCTCTTACCGTTGGGGATTCCGTGATGAAGAATGATATGACCGCTGCGGTAGTGGCCAGGAACCTTCTCACTCCCAAAGATAACAGACTACTTTCCAAACGGTCTGATGAGTTGTCTGTTAAGGATTCTCTGGCTCTCAGTGTTCAGTGTGCAGGTTCTGTGTCTAATATGGCCCAACGCCTATTTGCTCGAACCCGCCAAGTTGAATCATTGGCGGCTGAAGTGATGAGTCTCAAACAGGAGATTAGAGGGCTCAAGCATGAGAATAAACAGTTGCACCGGCTCGCGCATGACTATGCTACAAACATGAAGAGGAAGCTTGACCAGATGAAGGAATCTGATGGTCAGGTTTTACTTGATCATCAGAGATTTGTGGGTTTGTTCCAAAGGCATTTATTGCCTTCGTCTTCTGGGGCTGTACCGCGTAATGAGGCTCCAAATGATCAATATCTGATGCCTCCTCCTTCTAGGGTTTTGTCCAGTACTGAGGCTCCGAATGATCCCCCTCCGGTGCCTTCTCTTTCTGGGGCTCTACCGACTACTGAGACTTCTCCTAAGCAACCTTTGTGAAGGCTCCCTCTTGTTTGTTTATTTTGACTCAAGTATATGTACATATTTGTAACTTATCGGGAATATCAATAAATAAGTTTTCCTTCATTTCAACGTATTGTGTTAAATACACCAAAAGCCTTCTTCGCTAAGTTTCTTTGAATTTTCTTTTGTTGAAGCTTGTATGTTGAAGCTTTGTGAGTGGAGCATATAGGTTGAGGTAGTGTTCCCTTAATTTCCCGAGTGAGGAAAACTTCTCGTTGGAGACTTGGAAAAATCCAAGTCACTGAGTGGGATCGGCTATATGAATCTTAGAACGCCATTGTGTTCTGTCCTGTGTCATGTCCTCCGTTAGATCCAAGTACTCTAAGTCTTTTCTTAGGGTCTCTTCCAAAGTTTTCCTAGGTCTTCCTCTGCCCCTTCGGCCCTGAACCTTTGTCCCATAGTCGCATCTTCTAATCGGAGCGTCAGTAGGCCTTCTTTGCACATGTCCAAACCACCGTAACCGATTTTCTCTCATCTTTCCTTCAATTTCGGCTACTCCTACTTTACCCCGGATATCCTCATTCCTAATCTTATCCTTTCTCGTGTGCCCACACATCCAACGAAGCATCCTCATCTCCGCTACACCCATTTTGTGTACGTGTTGATGCTTCACCGCCCAACATTCTGTGCCATACAGCATCGCCGGCCTTATTGCCGTCCTATAAATTTTCCCTTGAGCTTCAGTGGCATACGGCGGTCACACAACACGCTGGATGCACTCTTCCACTTCATCCATCCAGCTTGTATTCTATGGTTGAGATCTCCATCTAATTCTCCGTTCTTTTGCAAGATAGATCCTAGGTAACGAAAACGGTCGCTCTTTGGTATTTCTTGATCTCCGATCCTCACCCCTAACTCGTTTTGGCCTCCATTTGCACTGAACTTGCACTCCATATATTCTGTCCAATTATACGTTTCTTTCTCTAATGTCTTTTAAAACAAAAAATAAAAACCAAAAGGGAAAGGAAAAAGGTTACTGCTATGTTTAATATTATTTGTACTATTACTTTCCCCAACCTAATAAACAACACCTAAGTTGATAATGCAGCACACATGCCATTAAGCATCTCACTGCCAAATTCTTTTTATTCCTATACCTAACACAAAGACCAAATTTTCTTCCACATCTTTCGAACTAAACGAAAACCGCATCAAAACCAACAACCAGAAAGCAGATGTCAGATGACTACAAATCAAGTTACTCTAACTCTCTAAACCATTAGTGAGAAGGACCAACTCAGATCCAAAACAATTTCAAGGGGAGGAAAAGAAATCACAGTTTCGCAGCACAATCTGTGTGCTTTCTAATGAAAGTATTTATGTAAACAAACAGGTTATCCTTGCTAAAGGATCAATCACTGCTATCAAGCATATCACTAGCAGATAATTTGCCGGAATTAATATTTAATAACCATTAGCACATATTTTTTATGACAACGCATGTGAGGGACCATACCTCAACTTCCATTGCACTGAACCCAAATCCTGAATCCCCTTCCACTGCAACAACAAGCCGGTCAGGAGAAGCTACCGCACCCGCAATGCAGTAACCCAATCCAACCCCCATTGTTCCCCAAGTCCCTGCATCCAACCTGGTCCTCGGCTCGGTCTGAACCAACACAGACCGACCCACATCCATAGTGTTAGCCCCCTCGGAAACCAATATAGGAGCAGGGCTCCCCAACCCTGCAATTGCATCTCTAATAATCTTCATTGGCGTCAAGAAATTAAATGGTACAACTTCCTTAGCCAACTGAGCCTCCATTTTCGAAACATTGTCCTTCACCTTACTCGAAATCGCTGCAACCCACGGATGAGACTTCCCCAAACAAAAGGGGTCATCCTTGATCCCCAAATTGATCTTCTCCAATACCAACTTTGCATCTCCAACCAAACCCAAATGTGGTTTTCGCAGCTCAATCTCTTCCTTACTAACATCAACCAAAATGAACTTCACATCCTTGGACCACTTGGGCGGCTCACCAAAGTGCAAAAGCCAGTTAAGCCTTGCGCCAACGACAAGCGCCACGTCACATTTCCCGATCGCCAGAGACCTTGCTGCGGTCGCCGCCAGCTCATGAGTGTCCGGCAACAGCCCCTTCCCCATTGGAGTGGGCAAAAATGGGATTCCCGTCCTCTCCACCAGCTTACCCAACTCGTTCTCCGCTCGAGCAAATGCAGCCCCTTTACCAAAAACAATCAACGGCCTCTCCGCGTGCCGGAGCAGCGAAACGGCCTCCTCAATCTGCGAATTCTGCACACACAGAACCTTCTCCGACTCTCCGAATTTCTCGGCGGCGGTGGCCAATAAGCTCTCAGCCTCCGCCTCAGAAATTGTCTGGTGCAGTACATCCGACGGAAAATCCAAATAGCACCCTCCGGGTCGACCCGAACCGGCTTTTGCAAGAGCTTGAAACACGCAATCCGGTATTTCTTTGATTGATTTAGCTTTGGCGGAGAATTTGGAAAAGGGTTCGACGGCGGCGATCTGATCGAGCTCCTGGAAATCTCCACGGCCGAAATCTTTCTGGTCGCACGAACCCGAGATCATTACCATGGGCCAAGCATTGGCCATGGCGTTGGAAAGACCCGCGAGCCCGTGGACGCATCCGGGACCCGAGACCGTGAGGAGAACTCCGGGTCGACCCGTTAGATACCCGTAGGCAGAGGCGGCGTAACCCGCCGACTGCTCGTTGTGGAACGCGATAAACCGGATTCCGAGCGAAACCGCGCGGTTCGCGAGCGAGGTGACAGGAATTCCCACGACTCCGAACATGCGGTCGACGCCGAACCGGGCAAGGGCCTTGGCGATCAGCTGGTTGCCATCGACTGCGGTTGTGGTCGATTCACCCATTGGATCTGATTGCTGTGCTTCTTCTGCGGGGTAATGAGTGGAGTGGGTACATATAGACACAGAAGTTGGAGGACGATTATGCCCCCGAGAGATTGTTGGGAAATGTGTTATGTCGGGGAGGTGGTACAGAACGAGGAGATGGGTAGATGGAGAAATCAAATTTGATAAGGAATGCTGAGACAGCCGCTGTTGCTTTTCTGGTTTGGTGGGCGGCGGTCTCTCTGTCAATGGCTAAATGGAACAGTATAAAGCGACTTCCTATGCCACGTCATAAAGCTGACGTGGTAAAACTGTAACAGCCGAAGCAGTTCCTTCTTACTCAGCAGTCCAGAGCCGACGAGTATGACGTTAACTATGAGGACAGGTATCAAAAGAAGAAGATGGTCACAGGCTAGGATGAGGTAATTTGGGCACAGCAGATCTGGACTCATTTCTCATACCCAAAGCCATCCCTGCCCTTTCTACCCCGCTCAGCCGCCGCCCTCTCTCCTCTCTCTCTCTCTGAGTCAGCGAAATGTTAAAGCGGCGATTCTACAAGCTAGAACACGGCGACAGAGATGGCCCCTCGAATTTGTCTTCATCCTCGTCGGATTCTGAAATAGAACCACACGCCACATACGACTCCGATGAGGAAGAAGAAGAATATGATGCAGTCGAACAACTCAAGGACGATGCTCAATCTTGCTCTACCTCCTCTGGTTTCCTCTTCCTTACCTGCCCTTTAATTATAGTTTGTTTAAATTTATTTATATGATTTTTCTCAAATTATATTTAATTGGGTATTGATTAATATTTGCTGAATTGAATTTTTCTTCTGGTTTTTCGGTTTCCAGGATATCAGAGTGAGGATAGCTCAGCGAATGAAGTTCCTGTTGACTCCTCAGGTAAGGCTATAAGAATTTTTATCGGTGAATTTTGATTCGTTTGCATGGCTATGGAGTTTTCAATTTTCTTTTCTGCATTCATGATATGGATTTTTCTATCTAGATACATTGTCTATTGAAACACCAAGAAGTTTTCGCCAAATCAGCTCGGATTGTAGACACTATCAGGGGGCGTTTGTTTGGCCTCATTAAGTGGGACTGGACTAGACTGGATTAAGTATTTAGGGAGTCCCATGTTTGGTAGGTAGAGGGACTGAGTTTAATGGGATAAACCCGGACTCGCTCAGACAAAGTCCTTCGCTAAGCGTTCTTAGCGAGGACCCCCAATTTTCACGGTACTGCTAAGCCCAGAGGGAGGGAAATTCGTCGCTCGTCTGCGAGAGAAGACATCCTACTCCTTCACCCTCGTCCTCCTCGCCTTCCTCTGCGTCCTGCTTGCCGTCCTCTGCTCCTCGTCAGGTAAATTTTGAATCTGACGATTTTCTTCTTCGATTTTCTTTTGCTGATCGTGAACGAAATGACTTCGATTTTGTCTGGTAAATTATTACTGGGTTATGAACGACTTCGTTGTTTTGGTTTGAAAACTTTTCAATAACTGATCTGGGTAGTTGAAAATAAATTAGGGTTTTCATTTTTAGGTTCAACTTGATATTAAAATTTGGGCTTTTACTGGAGTGGATTTGATATATATATATGAATTTCATCATAATTTGTTCTGCCATCGTTGAATTTCATCTAATAATTGATATGTGTATATAGTCTATGATTGTATGTGTCTGTCTGTATGTATGTATGTACTGTGTGTGTGTGGGTGTGTCCATGGATATGCTGATTTTGGGTGTGTGTGTGTGTCCTGGAATATTCAGCATATTCAAATCCTTGCAATTGGATTGGAGTTCATTGTTCTGATTTCAAGGTGACTTCTATAATAAATCTCAATGGACTTAATTTGTCTGGCACTTTGTCTCCAAGCATTTGTAATCTTCCCTACTTAACTGAATTCAATGTGTCCAAGAACTTCTTCTCTGGTCCTTTCCATAGTGAGCGAAGAAGGTGGGTTTAACTAAAACGAATCATGCTCTGAAAAATATCTTGTTTATCTACTGTAAGTTGGAACTAATGGTCTTGCTTCAATTTCCTGCATCTAATGGCTCATGTTCATGGGTTGTTGTCTTCTTGATTGATAAATCATATTGCAATATATGTGTGAAGCCCATGAATACTGGGGCTTAATTGCAGGAAATAATCTTACCGTTGCATCGTGATCCTGTTTTGATCTGGGTTCAGATTTTCGTTTGGGAGATGCATCCTTATCTTTCTTTGTTTGAGTATTCGTCTACTGTGATCATTGGAGTTTGTATGTATAAATGAAGGAGCTCCATGGCAAAAATGAATAGAAATAGAGCAACCTCAAAAGCTGTAAATTGATTACTCAAAGGCTAATTTTTTTGTTAATTAGTAAGATATCCAGTACAAACAGAACATAGAATGAGCAACTTGTTTCTTTTTCGACTTGTGATAGCTACATATTCGAATGCTTTTATTGTTTGATTATGATTAAAATTTCTTTGTTCAACCCCTAGTTCTTGATTCAACAGATTAAAAGACCAAATATAAAAAAAACTATAATCCTTAATTCAAACTAAGCATAGGAGTATTCTTGTTTGATCTCTAGTCCTTGTTTCCATTTGTTTTTACTTGATTTTTTGTACTTCTATTTATTCAGTACGATTGGTGGTTGTGATCTTTTAGGCATGGAATTTATACACAGAAGGCAAGTCCATTGAAATGCTCGAGACATCAGTAGGAGACTCCAGTAATCCACATGAAGTTTTGCGGTCAATCCATGTGGGTCTTTTATGCGTGTGCGTGTAGCGAAATCTGGCAGATAGGCCAAGCATGCCAGCTGCAGTTCTGATGTTGAGTGGTGAAAGTGGATTGCTTGAACCTGAAAAACCTGGTTTTTACAGTGAAAGGGATCTAGATGACAACAAAGTCAATCCTTGTGTAAACAAGGTTACAACTTTTTCAGCTAATGAAAACACTTTTACCCTACTCGAGACTCGATAGTTGATATTTCATGTTGCTGTTTATTTCATCATAACTTAATCTGATGTCTATTGAAGTGAGTCAAGTCAATCAAGTATTTCTTGAGTAACCTGCTTATACATTTTCTTGCTTTACATATGCTTTGCTTTGATATCAGCGGTGACTCGATTGAATAGGAATTCAATTTGATTAGATGATACATTTGAATTTCTGTGATTTGGATTCAACAGATTGTTCACTGTATTTTCTAATATTTGCTACAGTATGGGATGTACTAATGGCTTTTTTCTTTTCGGTACAACTTAATTAAACACGGTTCAAAAAAACACCAACATGAAATGTAATAAGGCAAACGACAAAGCAAACAAAGTTGCAAAACACAACCAAAAAAGCAAACAAAGCTTTAGCTTTAAGCTACAACTTTAAACCAAAGGTGAATAATTAAGAAAAGCATTCTGAACCCTATCAATTGTTGAGAGAATACTTTTTTTAAAATTGATGTTTGGAACAATGCTACTCTTGAATCATGTATGTTTCTTTCTTTGGCAAAAAAATTTTGATTTTTGTATTTTTATTGAGTCTCACTCTCATCCAATATTATTAATTTAAATAATATCTTTAATAAAAAAAAAAGCAATTAAAACAGAACAATAATGTAGTCGTAGTTTGAGCAAACACCAAACTAGTGAACAATACTGTTTTCATTATCTTGCTTCTTAGTCCGACACTGCACCAAACGCTTCACTAAACTAGTTCAGCTTAGTCTAGTCTAAGCCAGTCCAGCTTAGTCCCTGCAGCTAGTCCAGTCCAAGACAGTCCGGTACAACAAACGCACTCTCATATCTTTCCTAATCACCTCACCCATGTTTGTTTTGGTCTTCCTCCTTCCTTAGCACCGCCACCACCCTCTCCCTAAAAATATAAGGAAAACTAATGAAAATGGCTTGAAAACTTTGAGTTTTAATGATAATGACAAAATAAAGGATAAAGTGAATAGTACCATGATTGACTTTTTAATGTAAAAATGTGGTTTTTCATTAAAGTGAACAGTACCATGTGCTTTTCGTTAAAGTTCCCAAAAATATAAGAAGGAGAATGAATGAAATAGTCCGAAAAGGAGAGAAGACGGGTTTATCAGTTGATGTTATTATTGGGCAATAAAAGACGTAACACTCATCCTTAGGAGTGGCATAAAGTTGATATGAAAATTAGGTTTCGACTTCTAATCACAAGGCACGCAGCATCTTGTTATGCGGTTTGCATAAAATATAGATGTTACGTTACTACTTCCTTCCCCTCAAAAAGAAAATTACCATTACTTTTTTTCAGTTGCTTGGTAAAAGTGGTTCAGAATTACCAGAGGAAGAATCTTACATCATGCCAGACGAGGAATCAATACCAGTAGATTTACCAAACTGTATCGTGAATGAGGATAGTTTAGGGGCTCATCTGAAATCCAAGGTAAGATGTGTGTCATAATTATCTTAGGGAAATTTGAAAAATATGTCAAAAGTTATAAGGGGAAGTTGGAAAAAACTTTAAAAAGTTCATTTACTCTTTACGAGACAGAATGCTGAACATTAAGTAACAGAGAGCAACGTATTCGTGTAAAAAGATACAATTTAAAATTACTGATTTAGAGAACCATTGAGATTTGAACCTATTTGCTTAAGCTATCTTTTATACAACGAGATATGCAGTCTTGCGAGATGTAGAGGTTCTAGAAGGGTTCCTAACCATTAGTGGTGCATGTAAGGAACAGATTAATACAGCTTTGTTATGTTATGCTCGCTCGCATTTAATTGAAGAAGTGCCAGTGTTTTTATGTGGTCTTGTCAAGACCAATTACTAGTGACTAATTATATTGTTGTTATTATTGCAGAGAAATGCTCGGTCTAAGAAACTATTGGACGAAGGTAGGCTGAAGACCATACTGAACGCTGATGGGAAAATTGATGAAGAAGAGACCCCTGCTTTTTTTTGGAAGACAGAAATTTATATCCGGGCAAAGATGCCAAACAGAAACAAGAAAGCCAGCCAAAGAGGCTAACAAACAAACATCACTACAGCATAAAGGAGAATAAGAAGGTACAAGGAAACCATGACGCCGCACCAAGTGCTAAAACGTCCCTTCTCAAACTACCAAAAAACAACTACGGAGGGCAAGGAAGGCCATCATTACATAAAACATGAACCAGGGAAGATTGGGGTCTATTGACCCAAACTAGATCACATACTTCCTTACAATTGCGCGATGCCAAACAGTCGCGACCGAGTTGGCCAGTCTTGGAACCCAAGACCAGCGGCAAGCTTGAAAAGCCCTTCCCAATCTAAGGCACTTCCTCAGAATTGGAAAAGCATCCCAATTGCCCTTCTTTGCCGGATCCCTCAAACAAGAGATTGCATCGAAAGAGTCAGATTCAACACAAATCAAATTCCATCCATTGCTCACCCCCAGATTACACCCATGCATGATGGCCAAAGCTTCCGCCATAGTAGCACCAGTAGCCTTAATCTTGTGCCTAGAAGCAGCCAAAAAACGACCATGGTCATCCCTTGCCACTACCCCCGTGAAACCCCCCCCCCCCCCCCGTCGTTGCCTCCCAGCTAGCATCCACATTAATTTTGATAACACCTTGATTCAGCGGAGACCACTGAGCTCCATCACCCAAACTCGAATGGTTGAGCAAAGAGAATGAGCTCTGCCTAAACATTGTCTCCTGGTAATCCGAGACCGAACGGGAGACAGCAGCAACCACCCTGCTGGGGTAGATAACCTGATTGTTGAACATGAATTCGCATCTAGATTTCCAAATATGCCAGCAAGTAAAAGCAATATAAGAAATCCGATTAAGCCTCACCTCCGCAGACCCATTCTCAGCCTCACCCATCTGCACGAGCCAATTATCCCAGCTCGAAACATGCTGCCGGTTAGGTCTCAGATTCAGGACTCCTCCAAACCAAACCACTTCCACCCAAGGACAAAAAAGAAAGAGATGTTCCATGGACTCTTCAAGGGAGTTACACAGAGGGCAAATGGGAGACGGGGAAGATCTACGAATATATAAATTCTTCATAGTAGCTAAAGCCGCATGCAGGGTCTTCCACATGAAAGTTCGAATTTTTGGAGGAACCTTCAGCTTCCATACAGTCTTCCATAAGGTAGAAGGAATGGAGGCCAATCTGGAAGATTGATGGCTGCGGTCAATGGAACGATTAAGGCTCCAAAAATAACCAGATTTAACAGAATAAGACCCCCTCTTCTCATAAGGCCAAACCAATCTGTCCTTAAGCGTCGGATCACCAATGTGCAAATCCAAAATAGCCTCCACTTCAGACTCCGCCAAGAAAGGTTTTAAAAAATCCAAGTCCCAATCCCCACTCATAGGACAAATAAGAGACTTCACCTTTAGATTTTTCGAAACTTGAACCGACCCCAACGGGGACGGTCTTCCTAAAGGAATGGGGGGGAGCCATCTGTCCACCCAAACCCTCGTGTCATTTCCATCCATGATCTGCCAATGTGCACCTTCCTTAGGGATCTCTCTTCCAGCTAGAAGGCTAGCCCAAACCCAAGAAGCTCTCCCACCCTTCTTAGCATCAAGGAAAGAGCAATTAGGAAAGTAACGGGCCTTAAGAACAAGAGCCCATAAGGTGTTAGGTTCAGAAATCAATCTCCAACACTGCTTGGCCAACAGAGCGTCATTGAAACACGAAAAGCTCCTTAGGCCGAGACCCCCTTCCTCCTTAGACCGGCCCAATCTCTCTCTGGAAATCCAATGGATCCTATTTTCACCAAGCTTTTGACCCCACCAAAATTTAGATATCAAGGCATCCATTTCATTACAAAAAGAAATAGGAAATTTGAACAAATTCATAGGATAAGCCGGAATGGCTTGAGCCACCGCCTTAATCAGGATCTCCCGGCCGGCTTGAGAGAGAGTGGATTTTTTCCAACCTTGCAGCTTATCCAGAAGCCTACCTTTAACATAGGCCAACCCGGCTTTTTTAGATCTTCCCCATATAGCAGGAACCCCGAGATATATCCCCGGATCACCCACCCAATCAAAACCGAGAATATCAGATAGATGTCAAGAGATCTCCTCAGGGACATTGGAACCAAAACACACACTGGATTTAGACTTATTCACCTGTTGTCCAGAAGCCGCACAAAAATTATCAATCAGCTGAATTAGATTCATACAGATCCCTTCCTCAGCCTTAATAAAGATCAGAGTATCATCAGCAAAAAGAATATGGGAAATACTCGGACCCGACGGGTTCATCTGCACCCCCTTTATCCACTTCCTTACACAAGCCTGCTGGATAAGAAGAGAAAGAACTTCACTAACCAGAAGGAACAGGTAAGGGGACAGAGGATCGCCTTGCCGAAGCCCGCGAGAAGGAGCAAACTTCGATCCCGGTTGCCCATTTAGCAAGATGGAGAAATTCACCGACGATATACAGCCCAAAATCAACTTTCGCCATCTCTCTTCGAACCTCATCTTCTCCATTACAGCCATTAAAAAGTCTCACTCCACCCTATCATAGGCCTTCTGCATATCCAACTTAATTCCCATTTCAAATTGACTCCGAGCTTTTCTAGTCTTTAGGAAATGAAAAAGCTCATGAGCAATTCCAATATTGTCTTGAATTTGCCTCTCCGCCACAAAAGCATTTTGGAAAGGAGAGATCAAATCCAGGATAACCACTTTGAGACGATTGGTCAAAACCTTGGATAGCACCTTGTAAGAATAGTTACAGAGGCTAATGGGACAAAATTGCTCCACAGATTCCGGTTTAAGAACCTTCGGAATCAAAACCAAATGTGTAGCGTTGATTCCCCCTGGGATGTCCGTTCCATTCATCATATCCCCAATTAAATCATTCACCTCCGTAGCTACAATATCCCAATTAGTTTGGTAAAAGATTCCCGGAAAGCCGTATGGGCCCGGAGCTTTTAAACCGCCCATCTGCAATGCAGCAACTCTGACCTCGTCACTCGAGACCTCAGCCAATAGAGACTCATTCATTTCATCAGAAATTTTTGGGGAAACACAGTATAATAAACTGCCCCACTCCCTTTGTCCAGATGACGTGAAGAGTTCCATGAAGTACTCATCAAACAACCTCCTAACTTGAAGAGGGTTCTCAGTCCAATTCCCTAGACTGTTTTTTAGAAAACACCTTGTTTCTCCTTCTTCTAGATAAAGTGGACTGATGAAAGAATTTTGTGTTAGTATCCCCTTCCTTAAGCCATTGAACTCGAGATCGTTGCTGCCAAAAGCACTCCTCTTGTCGCCACAATAGATCAAGATTTCTAGAGAGGGAAGCTATCTCTTGTGCATTCCTACCCCAATTCTCCTGTAGCCGGCCCAAATGATCCAACATAGCTTTTAAATGTTGCCCCCTCCGATTAAATTTTTCCTTACTCCAACTTGTTAATGTGGTACGGCAGTTAAGCAGCTTCTTATTCCATTTTTTAACCCGAGAACCGTCGCTGCTAATCTCCCACGCTCGCCTTACAATCTCTTTGCACTCTGCATCCTTAGCCCAGAAAACCTCAAAGCGGAACAACTTTTTCTGTCTAACAGCTTTCTGCTCACAAAAAAGAAAAACAGGGCAATGGTCAGACCCAAGAGTCATGGCATTAGTAACAAAGGAATTACGCCAGGTAGACACCCAACAGTCATTCACCAACACCCTATCTAACCGAGCCTCAACCAGTTGCCCATTTCGAGTCCCCCGCCAAGTGAACTTTTGGCCATTGAAGCCTAAATCCATGAGCTCCCCCTTATTCATAAATTCTTCCAAATACCTAGGCCGGTTGTACCTTACTTCAGCCCCACCCACTTTCTCATGATCCCACAAAAACTCATTGAAATCGCCTCCACAAATCCAAGGGAAACTATGCGGATTAAATTTCTGAATAATTCCCCTCCAAAAGATTTCCTTTTCATCCCTGTAAGACGTACCGTATATACCTGTAAACCGGAACACCACATCCGAGTCAACAATACAGCAACGAGCATCAATAAGATGCTTAGAAGATTCCATAACATCCACATTGATCGAATCATCCCACCAAAGACTGAGACCTCCCGCTCTCCCAATCGGTGCAACATTAAAACCGTTAGCATATCCCATTCTTCTTCTCACCCCTATTATTCTATGGTCTTTCATTTTTGTTTCCGAGAGAAAGATCATAGAGGGTCTGTGCTCCCTGATTTGCCCATGAAGGGCTCGAACTACCGTGTCAGACCCTAAACCACGGCAGTTCCAAAATAAGTGTATCATGGCGATGGTGCGGCTGTTGAAGGCCAGCCGCCACCACCTTGGGAAGAAGCTCCCACATCATTCTGAACCAGTCCTATTCCTTTGCCTTCCCCTTCGTAGTCATTAACCCCCTTATTTCCTACCGTAGCTCTAGATTTCTTTCGATGTGATTGAGCCACATCTCTATTGATCACATCCAACTCTCTCTTCTTGTTTTTTCCTGACCACGTAGCAATTGGAGCGAAGTTACTCCCTATTTCCGTTATTTCCATGCTTCCACTTTCCGTTTCACCCCAACTGATGGATGTCGGATGACTTATCTGAATCTGTTGGGAGTGAAATATCTGCATGTCCGGGCCTTCCTTCCCCTCAGTTACTCCTACTTCCCTTTCTCCTTCAAAGGCATCTTTAACTCTGTTACCATCTTCCCCTTGATTCCTGTTTGGCACATTCCGGCCCTCTCGCATTGCTCCCGCATGCCTTCTTTCCCCCAGGGTGTTGGGCAACTGTCTCGGAACCTCACTAATATCCCTAACGGGAGCCGTTTTAGTCCACTCACCATATCCAGCCATCCCCCCTTTCACTGCTTCAAAATGACATTCAGTGTTTGGGTGTCCAATCCTCCCACATCGATAGCAAAAATCCTGTAACCTTACGTATCTGAATTCAATCCAAGACTCCTTGTTGTTTTCCCTAGGAAGCCAACATCCTGTAGTTAGAGGATTTGCCGTATCCACCTCCACTTTCACTCTCAAAAAACCCCTGGATTTTGCTGGGTCTTCCACTGTTTGAACTTTCCCAATCTGTGACGCAAGTCGCATGATATTCGCTTCGGAGCTCAGGAAATGAGGCACTCCCCTTATTTGAATCCAAAACGAGATTCTCCGCATGTCTATTTCCTCCAAGGCTAGCTCCGGTGGCCATCTTTTCACTAAGAAATTTTGCTTCATAACCGCCCATGGTACCTGATCAATTATTTTAGCAGCAGTACTTTCATCATTGACTTTGATAACGAAAGTATTTTCTTTGACCCACTTGATTTCTACTTCTCCCCACCTCTGCCATGAAGATCTGAGAATGTTGCGAACCCCCCATTTGTTAAGCGTTTTACTGACCAAAGCAGTACCCACCAATTTAATTCCTTGTTCCATGGTAGATATGTCCAAGCTTTTCTCTAAGTGGACCACAAGATCTTCCACCCCCTCTCCTGCCATATGATATGGAATTTGGTGGTATGCCCAGAGAATACTTAATGCAGTAGAACACAATAAGAAATGAGCTTGTCTCCCCGTATTCTTTCTTCTTTTTTCAATATCCCTCTCACAATCCTTCAAGCTGGTAAGGAATAACTGGATGTACAAAATAAGCACAATCAGACACACAGAGGTTTGTATCCCGGATTTGAAGCATACCTCATCATTAAAACCCCCGGTGAATAGTCTTAGGTGGTTGGCATGAGTTGTTGGAGAGTAAAGCCGAAGGTATTTTTGAAAAATTGCTTTGCCTGGATCTGGTGGAAGGAAGTTATGACCGGACCCACCCCGCTGTGGGATGTAGCTCTCATCTTTCTTCAAAAGGCCAGTGCATTCATGTCTGATTAGAACAATCCCTCTGTTTCTCCTTCCTGCCATCCCTGCGACAAGATCCACAGACCTAGATCTGACCTCGAAAGGGATAAATTAGACAGATAGGACGGAGAAAGAGCAGATGGAAGGTGAAATAAGGAACGAAGGAGGGCCGAGAGGGAAGGGAGTAACTCCAATTCGATAAAGGTAGGTAAGAAATAAATTCCAGAATGACAAAAGGGGAGAAAGGTTACAGAGGAGAGAGGGGAAAAATTAAGAATAATTAGGGGAAAACTATGAAAAACAGGAGGAAGGCGAAAAGCAGCTAAAGGGAACGAGGATCAAACCGGACGATGGCTTAGATTCACTGGCAAACCCTCACAAAGGAGGGACCCTCACGGAGGAGGGAAAGGCTCTCACGGAGGAGAGAGAACTGTTATTTGAGTTAGGTTTAGCTAGGAGTATGTCTTTCTTCTTAGAGACCCCTGCTTTATATGCAAAAATTCTAGCTAATTCACAGGTAGGTCTCTCGTATATTGCTAAAATAAACCAGGAAATAATGTCGCGCGTGCATGCAAGAAATTAACCCATCTCTGCTACTTTATTCTAGGGTATGCCGAGAAAGAAAAGTAAAAGACAGAACAAGAATGGGTCGAAAAAGGTAAAAAAACATCACACCACAATGTTTGGATATATATAGGCTTTAAAGTATATAATCTGTTATGACTTATAACCGATGTTGTAATATGCAGAGGACGAGATATGGTGGTAAGCAATCCAAAGGGAACCCAGCCAAGAGAAGGCATGGATAAAGTTCTAAGAATGTTGCTTTTGGTTGCTGTCCCGTGGGAGATACAACTGCGAGAAAGGAAAACAAGGATTTGCTAGGTTTGTACCGAATTAAGGAAGCTATTTTAAGATTTTCATCGCTTCCTAGTGATGTGGCTAAGGGACTGCTTGATAATACTTTGCTCTATTGTTTAGTTTCAGCCAAAATTTTGTTTTAATCTTAGGTTTTATCCTTTCTTATGAAAGAAAGCTTGTTTAGGAACCCACTTCTAAGCTTTTGTCATCAGGAGAATGAAAATGATCAGGTCTTGCATTCATAAGATTTTAAGATGCACAGAATTTACTTGACAAGCATAATGTTTACATACCAATTGATGCTAATCCGATGATTGCAAAAATTTCTCCGAAGAGTAATTATCGGTAGTTCCACCAAGGGGCTAATTATCAAGGTGAACAGATCATTATTGGTCACATGATCTCTACTTAGGCTGGATAATCCGAGTTATGCTACGGTCAGTGAACCAATTGCGCGTGCTTTCTAAGCATTAACACACAGACTCACATTCCAATTCAAGGGTCAAACATTGCCCCTCGAACTCGGAAAGTTTGAACCGAATGAACTGTAATAAAAGCCACAACAAAAATTATACACAACAGACATCTTGGTTGAATGATTCAGCTCATACACAGGCTAAAATGGAGGCATGGTTCTTCTGTTATGGAGTCAGGGTGCCGATGCAATAACTCAAACACGCTACTGCTAAAATTCTTGATATACGATATCGGGCCAATAAAACAAGTGAAACACAGAACCATTGCATTTTACATTTACGACTACCTTGATTAAGCAAAACAAAGAAAAAGCTCCAGAAGTGATATTGGTCCAAAAAGTTATGATTATACACAAGGTTCGGTGAGATTTCAGGCTAGTAGTGAACATCTGTCTCCTATTACTACAAATTTGATAATCCCGGTCAGCACAAAATATCACCTGAATGAACCAGACTTCCAACAACCAAAAGTCAGCATAGCTTCCTGAACCGATGTTTACCGTAGCTACAAGGAAGAAGTTATTAACTTCAAAACCCCTTCCCCAGTAGGGCCAAAGCATTGGTATCCTTCTAATTTTTTTGGCAATATCGCCAAGTGAAACATTATGCATAATGTTTTCCTAGAAAGAGGATATCAAAAGTACAAAGGGAATTGGAAGCCTGTGACTCAATACCTAAGGTTTCTGCTCCTCTGAAGGATCTACGCATAATGTTTTCCTAGAAAAAGGATATCAAAAGTTAAAAAGGAATTGGGAAGCCTGTGATTCAATACCTAAGGTTTCTGCTCCTCTGAAGGATCTACAGGCAAAACTAGCTGTTCTCCGCTTCCATCCGCCCCATTAGGCTGATCAAGTGGAGAGGGTTGTTCTCCACTCTCAGTATTCTCTAGCTGGAAATTGATGGGGAACTTCGTGACCCTGGGCTTATCAGACAAAATGTTTCTTTGAACCCTATCAATCAAGACCTTTGGAGGAGGTTCTTCTCGCAGCTGCTCATCATCATAATCATTGTTAACATAGTAGTCCACTCGGATAAATTCCTGACCAATATAAGAGCAGGTCAACAAAAGCACTGTCACACCAATGATGTCTTCATCACGAATCGTGGATGGGTCAGGAGGATCTGCCTGCAAAATGATCAACAAAATTAACTGGAGTTTATTCAAATTCAAATGCACCTTGTGGGTCAGATGTGAAAGGGATACGGTAGAAGGATCTAGTGGAAGCTTACCTGTAGTATAAAACGATAGTTTCCGACATTGACGGGCCCAACAAGTACACTCTCCAGTAGTTGGTCATAAGTCTCATCCTCAGCAGATCCCACGTAGATGAGCTTCCATTCCAAATCTGTATTGGCATAAAAACTATTCAACAAGTAAACAAGGCATCCACTTTTAGTTCACCTAGAACTAGAAAAGCATGTGCAACTAGGTGCTACTTGTGCAATCTCAGAAACTCAGCTCCCCATTCCATTCAAGTTTCATGCAAATAATCATCACCATTAGTGAGGGGATGACTCAAGAAGCTGAAATAGGATAAGATGATTTCCAAAAAAAATTGAAGGAAGGGTATGGAACTAGAAGACTAAATATTTTAACAAGCATCTGTACATAATTATTTTACTAATCTGTTGTCCTCAAGGAATCCATATTCCTACCCGGAACAAGTCAATACTTCAAGTTGGTGCTACTTGGTGGTTAAATAATTTTCTGTCGATCAAAGCTACAAAATTAGAAAGATTTTAGAGTTACAGCTCTACTATTTGCCTAATTACATGGTGTTACGTTTTCACTCTTTGAAAGATACCTTTCTGGTTTTCTGTTTACAGTTCTATATGCAATACCTACGCAATTATAGCACCTCAGGCAAGTACTATAATTACATTCAAGTGACTGACATGTTAAACAATATTCTTTGCTAAATTTATTTCTATTCCAAATCCATTCACCTTTAGCTATATTTAATTTAACTGCAAACAGTCTAAATAGATCCAATCGCACATACGACACAAAGAACAGGAAGGAAGAAAGGAGAGGGAGGGTGTTTGAAGGTTTAGAGAGGTCAGGGGTAAGGGCACGACAAAGACATTGAAACTGATATTACCAGAATAACAATAAATATGTACACAGTGCACCCTTGAAATGCAGAAATGAATTGTTATTAGCAAAGCTGATAAATCAAACATGGTCATTGATAGAAAATATACCACCAATCTTAGGAAAACATAACACTTTAGAACATACGCTTTCTTGAAATGCATACAAAACACAGTTTGACTTCTTTCAGCATCACACCATGTCCACTGCGACGACATTTTCTTATTTCCTACTTCTCATTCAATGGCAAGCCAATGCTACAAATTCTTCCAACATACTATAATGTTCATTGTTCCAACTACATCGTGAAAAAACGAAAAGAAGAAGAAACACTAATCAACCAAGAAACCGTTTCACTTCTGGCTCGAAACCCAAACAATAAACTCAATCAATTGGGTGTATATCCCCAGTATTTCATAACAATAAGATAATAATCCAATCTATAGTATATGAGCTCTCGCACACCCACTTCCTTGCAAGCCAAGAAAACCCCTTTTTCGGAAGATAACCTCTATCCATTCAACATTACATCTAACACTTCAATTTCCAATTGTTCTACCAATTTCCCAATCAAACACGAAAAAACCCTAATTCAAACTCAATCACAAAATTAAAACCAAAGGTACAAAAACAAAAAGCAAGAGAGAGAGGGGGAAACAGTACCGTCTTTGAAAGCAGTGTTGCAATCGTAAGAAATTTCGAACTGGAAGGGTGCCAGAAACAGAGCCGGATTGTCCAGAGCCGGATTGTCGAGCACCGTCACGTTCGTGATGTTAATGGCGCTCATTGCAACGAAACCCAGACGAAGAAGAAGACAACGACGACTGTGACTGTGACTACTATTCTACTCGCGTAGGATTTCTTGTACGGACTGCTTTCGGAACACTGCTTTGGGAGTTTTGGGTTTTGGGGGAAATTGATTTTTGTCGTTTTAAAGCGAGAAATAGAAAACGAGATAGTGACCGGATGGATACGGGCGATAAGCGGTGTCGATTTGGCGGGAGTTTTTTTGGTGAAAGGTGGGAAACGGTTATTTACCGGTGTGGGTAACTTGGGGCGGGAAGGGGTTTAAGCCTAAAAAGAACAAAAATGGACTTGTTGCGAAACTAATTGGGTAGTGCTATGAACTTGTTAGGCGAGAGTAAAAATGAAGATGTGAATAATATTTTTTAATTAATTATTATGGTTTTTCGGTGAGAAGTAAAAATGAAGATGTGGATAACATTTTTTAATTAATTATTATGGTATTTTTTGCTTTATAAGTAATACAAAGCTTATGAGGATTTGATCTTAAAACTTTGATGTGGTAACATAGTAGGACAAACTCGTAATCTAAGAAGAAAAGTGAGTTAATGCAGGATATTGATGTTTCACGTCTTCTAGTAGATCATTAACACATACAAGGGTATGACCAACTTAAAGTAGGTGCCTCATCAAATCTTCGTTAGGCTAGCAAAAACTAAGTAGGAAAAAGTGCTCCCGATTGTAGGTAATGAGTATAATAACGTCATATAAGTATGCTTCAAGATACTCCCTTAAGTTCAACATAGCTTCCTATGAGAACTACCAGTGATGCAAATCTAAAAGTATATTTTAGCAATGACTTCATGAAAAGGTTGACAAGATTGTCTTGAGATTAGATCTACTTGACTTCGATCTTCTAATGCTCTTGTTGCTGATGGGTGAAGAAAAACTTCAATGCAATATGCTTGGTATTGTCACCTTAGATGTATAATTTCTTTAGCAAGTTGACACTTGCAGTGATGTCTTCATGAATCGTTGTTGGACAGCCAATGATGAAAGAAAAACAACATGAGGTTGTAATGTGTTCAATCACCCCTCAACTGAAAGCATTCACGTGATGCTTTGTGTAGAGCTAGAATCTCAGCGTGATTTGAAAACGTAGGAACCAAGTCCAATTTGGTATATCTTTAGGATATTGTAGTACCTCTAATGATATAAACAATCCATTTGAGACTGGGTTTGTATAGAAAAATAACCAGCATCAGCATAACCAACCATGCAAACTTCATTATGAAGATCGGGGGTTGGATCCGCTTAACGATGTATAAGGATAAATCAAGTCCTTATCCACTGTACCAATTGACATCAAAGTTCGTGCACCGAATATAAAAAGATTGTAAACCTTTGGAGAACTAATTTAAAGCTGAAGTGGAGATCCCTATGAATCTTTACAAGGTAACAAAGATAAGAAGCAAAGGGGATGACTGTTTAAGCCCCAACCTTTTCAAGCTATACATTCAAAACATATTTCTAACCATGCTATTTGTACGAACATTACAAAACTTTGGACTGAAAGCAGTTCACGCACCAAATCAAAGAAAATTCTCAATTTTCAGCTGCCACGTCCATCTTCCTTGTCTGAGAACGAAACATTGCAGCTATATCTTCAGCTGTGCTACATTCATCTGGTTTTCTATCTGCCACAGTGCGAATGTACCTTGGGAATCTGATTGAAATGCCGCGTGATGGATGCACTAAACCTACAGCAGCCTGGTGAACAGGAGACACTGTAAAGTCTGCACCTCTTATTTCCCACACAAGTTCCGGAGAAAACCACATATCAGGCATCTCAGAGGTTTTATAATAAGGTGGTTTTCTGGACAAGATCTTGGCTCCCGAAAAGAAACCTTTCATCTGCAGTTAAAAACAGAAATCAAACCTATAATCAGCAGATTCATGAGATGAGCTCACACCCTACATTGACTCTTAATAAGAGAATCCACGTGCAACACAGTGAGAAACCAATTGGAAGTATAATTTCCAGAAGGTTTTCTCCGTGCAGAAATGACAAATACACTAATAATTTGTCCAGTAAAAATAGGGTTTTCAAACTCAAGTGTCCTCAACATGAACCTGATTTCTGCCATGAAGCCCTAAACTAAGCCTTATTCACCATTGCAAAGAGGAAATTGCCTTTCACCACATATCAAATAACATACAACCCAAAGCTATACCGCACTAACTTTTAACAGGATAAATTTTAGAGAGGACACATTAAAATCTTAGGTCTCTTATATTTTAAGAAATATGAACCCTTCATTGTACTCCACAATTGGAACTTGGTTTCAATAGGAAGTTGGAAACTTTTATCCAACAGGATAACATTCTAATATTGGAAACCACTTTATAGCCACAGTTCATCTTCGATCAGTCACAATATCTTCAGTAATATACCAAAAAATTGCATGTACCTTCTTAAGAAAATACTTTGCGTATCAGCAAAATACACATACCTCAATGTAAAATGAGTCGGAAAACCCAGACATGACACGGCAGACGCTTTGGAAATCTTCAGTCTCAGGGTTATAACATGCCATGAGAAATGGACTGTACCTGTAACATAAACAACATGCTATGAGGAATGGACCTTACCTGCACAATTGATACATATTTCAACCCTTCTCTCTTTTATGGCATGAGTAAGATTCAATATACTATTAAAAACCACAACAGAAACAGAAAAGACCAAATAGAAAGAAAAAACACAAGTTATTGACAAAGACTAAACTAATTAAAGGTAGTGCTATCCACATCCATTTTTACTTCTGATACACCCCTTTCAATTTTGGCCGTCGGATCAAATGAATTGAAGAAGATCAACAACAACAACAACAACAACAAAGCCTTTTCCCACTAAGTGGGGTCGGCTACATGAATCCTAGAACGCCATTGCGCTCGGTTTTGTGTCATGCCCTCCGTTAGATCCAAGTACTCTAAGTCTTTTCTTAGAGTCTCTTCCAAAGTTTTCCTAGGTCTTCCTCTACCCCTTCGGCCCTGAACCTCTGTCCCGTAGTCACATCTTCGAACCGGAGCGTCAGTCGGCCTTCTTTGCACATGTCCAAATCACCAGAGCCGATTTTCTCTCATCTTTCCTACAATTTCGGCTACTCCTACTTTACCTCGGATATCCTCATTCCCAATCTTATCCTTTCTCGTGTGCCCACACATCCCACGAAGCATCCTCATCTCCGCTACACCCATTTTGTGTACGTGTTGATGCTTCACCACCCAACATTCTCTGCCATACAACATCGCTGGCCTTATTGCCGTCCTATAAAATTTTTCCTTGAGCTTCAGTGGCCTACGACGGTCACACAACACGCCGGATGCACTCTTTCCATCTAGCTCGTATTCTATGGTTGAGATCTCCATCTAATTCTCCGTTCTCTTGCAAGATAGATCCTAGGTAACGAAAACGGTCGCTTTTTGTGATCTTCGCTAGATTGCTCCGGTCATTAGTGTGGATAAGTATATAAATGGATAGAGATAGGAAAGCAAACACAAGATGTACGTGGTTCACCCAGATTGGCTACGTCCACGGAATAGAAGAGTTCTCATTAATTGTGAAGGGTTTACACAAGTACATAGGTTCAAGCTCTCCTTTAGTGAGTACGAGTGAATGATTTAGTACAAATGACATTAGGAAATATTGTGGGAGAATGATCTCGTAATCACGAAACTTCTAAGTATCGGAGTGTGGTGTCGTCTTGACTTGCCTTATCTGTCTCATAGGTAGATGTGGCATCTTCTCTGGAAGTACTCTTCCTCCATCCAGGGGTGGTATCTTTAACTGGTGGAGATGCACAAGGTAATGTATCAATTTCACTTGAAGCTTACTTGTAGTTTTCAGGCTTGGTCAAGCGCGATACAAACCATGTAGTAGGAGTCCCCCAAGTCGCCGAGCTAGGGGGGTCTGCTGAAAGAGGTGACAGACAAGGTAAGCAATCAGAGCTCCGACTGATTGTTCACCTTCTCCCCATCTTGCAGCAGCATGAAGGATAAAGAAGAGAAAAAATGAGAAGAGATGATATGAGATACTTTTGCTTTTGAAGAAGTAACTTTCCACAGGCTTATTCTTGAACTGAGCTGGAGGGTTTTCTGGTTTCCTCCAGAGTATAAGGCCGACTGAAGAATTTGAGGGTCAAAACAAGTCCATCAAATCTAGAGTACGTTCCACCTGCTGATATGGGATACTTTTGCTTTTGACAGAGTAATGGATGTATCGGCACGTGTGCTGTTACGCTTGTCTCCACATGCTTCCTTGTATCCTTCGCACTTGCCCTAATCTGTTCCTCAAGCAGATGCGGAATCTTCCCTGGAAACATAAGATGATGAAGATGAGTACTCAAGAGCAATGCCAGGTAAGTAATCAGGTAAGGGGTTCCAGGCAGTCAGTTCCTGGCTGGAAGCTTGATTCCAAGTGCTGACATATTGCTCTCTTTCTCCTTGTCTTGCAGGTAAAAACAAGGCCAAAAGAAAAAACAGGGAAAAAGCATGATATGGGATACTCTTGCTTTTAACCCTGATGATATGAGATATTCTTGCTCTAGTATAGCTTGTTTGCAGAGGTATTATCGGGGGGAAAGAAAGCTGAATATTTCGAAAGGCTTTGTTGGGAGTGCCCTCTCAGATATGATGAAGGGTTGAGCATTTTTGCAGGTCTGCCTGTCCGTTGGGATGGAGGTCGACATATATAGGAGTCTCCCTAACAAGTAGTAATGCTATTCCTTTACCCTGCTTGGTCATAGCACGGTAGTGGGAGCTGCCAGTTTCACATGTTTTTAACTCTGTCAGAGCACTTTGAAAAAGTGGTCTGTGGTATCTGGCTCTCGAGATTCGGAGAACGATGCCTCTTCGATTTTTGAGAAAGCAATCATGCTGGGGGTCTGACTCTCGAGATTCGGAGAGCAGTGTCTCTTCGATTTTTGAGGAAGTAATCATGTTGGGAGTCTGGCTCTCGAGATTCGGAAGGCGGTGCCTCTTCGATTTTGGAGCAAGCAATCTTGTTGGGAGTGTTGTCTCGAATGTGAGTAAAGGTTGGACATGTTTGCTAGTCTACCTTGCCACGAAGCACAAAGGTTGACACACAGGGACTTTCCAATTATCCAGCAATGGTACTGTTCCTTTACCCTCTCTTCGATTTTGAGAAAGTAGTCATGTTGGGAGTCTGGCTCTCGAGATTCGGAGGACGGTGCATCTTCGATTTTGGAGCAAGCAATCTTGTTGGGACTGTTTTCTCGAATGTGAGTAAAGGTTGGGCATGTTTGCTAGTCTACCTTGCCACGAAGCACAGAGGTTGACACACAGGGACTTTCCAATTATCCAGCAGTGGTACTGTTCCTTTACCCTTGTGGGTAATAATATGGTAGCTAGACCTTCAAAATTTATGTGTCTAAACTTTGTTAGTGCTGTTTCTTTGCTATTCTTTTACCTTTCTTGGTCAGAGCGATGTAGTGGGAGCTGCAAGCTTCACGTGCTCAACTTTTGGCAGAGAACTTTGGCAAAGTGATCTGTGGTACCCATGAGTTATTGTTGCGTGTGGGAAGTGGGTGATTGAACAGTAAGATTTCATGTGCTTTCTACTTCACCAGAAGTCTTCGACAGAATGCCCATAATTTCTGCAAAGCTGAGTGTGCGTGTGACAGGTGCTGACAAGGCTAGAAAAGTAGATGCCCTCTTCGATTTCTGAGATCGGCCCTCGTGGTATCTGAGCAGCCCAGCTTTTGAGAAAGCGAGCGCCTCTTCGATTGATTCGGAGAACGGTGCCTCACCGATTTTTGAGAAAGCAATCATGCTGGGGGTCTGGCTCTCGAGATTCGGGGAGCAGTGTCTCTTCGATTTTTGAGAAAGTAATCATGTTGGGAGAGTGGCTCTCGAGATTCGGAGGGCGGTGCCTCTTCGATTTTGGAGCAAGCAATCTTGTTGGGAGTGTTTTCTCGAATGTGAGTAAAGGTTGGGCATGTTTTGCTAGTCTACCTTGCCACGAAGCACAGAGGTTGACACACAGGGACTTTCCAATTATCCAGCAATGGTACTGTTCCTTTACCCTCTCTTCGATTTTTAAGAAAGTAGTCATGTTGGGAGTCTGGCTCTTTAGATTCGGAGGACGGTGCCTCTTCGATTTTGGAGCAAGCAATCTTATTGGGAGTGTTTTCTCGAATGTGAGTAAAGGTTGGGCATGTTTGCTAGTCTACCTTGCCACGAAGCACAGAGGTTGACATACATGGACTTTCCAATTATCCAGCAGTGGTACTGTTCCTTTACCCTTGTGGGTAATAATATGGTAGCTAGACCTTCAAAATTTATGGGTCTAAACTTTGTTAGTGCTGTTTCTTTGCTATTCTTTTACCCTTCTTGGTCAGAGCGATGTAGTGGGAGCTGCAAGCTTCACGTGCTCAACTTTGGCAGAGAACTTTGGCAAAGTTATCTGTGGTACCCATGAGCTATTGTTGCGTGTGGGAAGTGGGTGATTGAACAGTAAGATTCATGTGTTTTCTACTTCCCCAGAAGTCTTTGACAGAATGCCCATAATTTCCGCAAAGCTGAGTGTGCGTGTGACAGGTGCTGACAAGGCTGGAAAAGTAGGTGCCTCTTCGATTTATGAGATCGGCCCTCGTGGTCTCTAGGGAGCCCAGCTTTTGAGAAAGCGAGCGCCTCTTCGATTTCTGAGATCGGCCTTCGTGGTCTTTGAGCAGCCCAACTTTTGAGAAAGCAAACGGCTCTTCGATTTCTGAGATCAACCCTCGTGATCTCTCAGCAGCCCAACTTTTGAGAAAGCAAACGCCTCTTCGATTTCTGAGCAGACGCCTCTTTGATTTCTGAAGCTCCGTCGAGTGCAGATTTTTATAGAGGCTGGCATTAAGTTCCAAAGCACACTTGAATCTCCACCAGTAGAAGCTTCATTCTTGCACTTCTAAGATCTTGATTTGTCCGACCTCTTCTCTCTTCAACACCTTTGAAAATGTCTGGCCCCTCCGACCGTCGTTTTGACTTGAACCTTGTTGAAGAGGCAGCCCCGCCTTCTCCAGACAACATATGGCGCCCATCCTTCGTCTCCTCAACTGGTCCTCTTACCGTTGGGGATTCCGTGATGAAGAATGATATGACCGCTGCGGTGGTGGCCAGGAACCTTCTCACTCCCAAAGATAACAGACTACTTTCCAAACGGTCTGATGAGTTAGCTGTTAAGGATTCGCTGGCTCTCAGTGTTCAGTGTGCAGGTTCTGTGTCTAATATGGCCCAACGCCTATTTGCTCGAACCCGCCAAGTTGAATCATTGGCGGCTGAAGTGATGAGTCTCAAACAGGAGATTAGAGGGCTCAAGCATGAGAATAAACAGTTGCACCGGCTCGCACATGACTATGCTACAAACATGAAGAGGAAGCTTGACCAGATGAAGGAAACTGATGGTCAGGTTTTACTTGATCATCAGAGATTTGTGGGTTTGTTCCAAAGGCATTTATTGCCTTCGTCTTCTGGGGCTGTACCGCGTAATGAAGCTCCAAATGATCAACCTCTGATGCCTCCTCCTTCTAGGGTTCTGTCCAGTACTGAGGCTCCAAATGATCCCCCTCCGGTGCCTTCTCTTTCTGGGGCTCTACCGACTGCTGAGACTTCTCCTAAGCAACCTTTGTGAAGGCTCCCTCTTGTGTGTTTATTTTGACTCATGTATATGTACATATTTGTAGCTTATCGGGGATATCAATAAATAAGCTTTCCTTCATTTCAACGTATTGTGTTAAATACACCAAAGCCTTCTTCGCTAAGTTCTTTGAATTTTCTTTTGTTGAAGCTTGTATGTTGAAGCTTTCTGAGTGGAGCATGTAGGTTGGGGTAGTGTTCCCTTAAGTTCCCGAGTGAGGAAAACTTCTTGGTTGGAGACTTGGAAAATCCAAGTCACTGAGTGGGATCGGCTATATGAATCTTAGAACGCCATTGTGCTCGATCCTGTGTCATGTCCTTCGTTAGATCCAAGTACTCTAAGTCTTTTCTTAGAGTCTCTTCCAAAGTTTTCCTAGGTCTTCCTCTACCCCTTCGGCCCTGAACCTCTGTCCCATAGTCGCATCTTCTAATCGGAGCGTCAGTAGGCCTTCTTTGCACATGTCCAAACCACCGTAACCGATTTTCTCTCATCTTTCCTTCAATTTCGGCTACTCCTACTTTACCCCGGATATCCTCATTCCTAATCTTATCCTTTCTCGTGTGCCCACACATCCAACGAAGCATCCTCATCTCCGCTACAACCCATTTTGTGTACGTGTTGATGTTTCACCGCCCAACATTCTGTGCCATACATCATCGCCGGCCTTATTGCCGTCCTATAAAATTTTCCCTTGAGCTTCAATGGCATACGGCGGTCACACAACACGCCGGATGCACTCTTCCACTTCATCCATCCAGCTTGTATTCTATGGTTGAGATCTCCATCTAATTCTCCGTTCTTTTGCAAGATAGATCCTAGGTAACGAAAACGGTCGCTCTTTGGTATTTCTTGATCTCCGATCCTCACCCCTAACTCGTTTTGGCCTCCATTTGCACTGAACTTGCACTCCATATATTCTGTCTTTGATCGGCTTAGGCGAAGACCTTTAGATTCCAACACTTCTCTCCAAAGGTTAAGCTTTGCATTTACCCCTTCCTGAGTTTCATCTATCAACACTATATCGTCTGCGAAAAGCATACACCAAGGAATATCATCTTGAATATGTCCTGTTAACTCATCCATTACCAACGCAAAAAGGTAAGGACTTAAGGATGAGCCTTGATGTAATCCTACAGTTATGGGAAAGCTTTCGGTTTGTCCTTCATGAGTTCTTACGGCAGTCTTTGCTCCAATTGAAGAAGATCAATGCCCAAAAATTAACAAGGGTGTGTGGGAGGTAAAATTGGGTGTGTGAATAGCACTTTCCTATTTAAAACTCTGGATTTGTAAATTCAATGACTTGGAAAACATGTAAAGCAACTTTAACGTTTGTGCATCCGTGCATGTAGTAGGTAATCACACACAGCATAAAAGTTAAGTGGCAATGAAAAATAAATAATTACCAGCCTGCCTTTCTCCCGTTTCCATGCCAAGCTCCAATTGGGACTAAATCAAGAGAGTCGTTCAATCCCTCCATGTAGTCTCGCTTGACCTACAAAGGAAAGAAAGACTTAATAACAGGTCAGGTCAGATATTTTTCCTATGATGTTTATTATATCAAATCATTTAATAAGAAACTTGAACAGAATTAAACCTTTAGCCATGTGTCTGTACGCTTTGATGGAGAATATCCAGCATCAACATCTAAAGATTTAACCATAATCCCTTCGCATGAGGATTGGAATGAATTTTCAAGAAAGCAGCTGATCTTTGCTAACGTGGCTTCACTGGTTAAACAAGCATCATCTGCTTCAACCTACAAGCAGACAAATGTTACAAATCAGCAAATAAGGAAAGATCCACTATGCGAAAAGATAAAGCTAAAGTGCCAATTACAAGAAAAGTAAACCATAAGCACTTACTGTAATTTCCTTGGCATATTCGAAATAACCCGGCTTCTCAACAAAACATATCTTTCAAATCTGCAGATTATTGAGCACCAAAGTTTACAACATAATTTCAGGGTATCAAGCAAGATACTCTTAGACAGGAATATACTACAAACTAAAGTCTGGAGACGTACATGTTCGCCTTTGCCGCAGAGGAAAGCCCAGCAACCTGTGATAAAGTTTGATTAGCTTACTTTAATGATAAGCAACCGTATTACAAAAAATAAAAACAGAAATAAATAAAAGCAAAGACAACAATATGATCGTGTAAAATTCTAGCGTGTCAACCCTGTGTCAACACAAAAACCATATACAGTTATTTAAATGTTTGTATCTCCTCTGAGTTTATACTGTTGAATGACACAAATTCTAATAAGGAGCAGTTAACCCAATGCAGAAGCAATGGAAGTGTTAGACAAATGTCCAAGCCCTTCCAACCTTGCTCTTTTCTTGTAGTTATAAATATGATTTTATGCCAATTTATCTGTAACTATATGCTTTTTATGAAGTTGCCACACAAGGACGTTTATATGGTGGTATAATATGCCCAAGATACTTCCAAGATTAAGATCATTTGACGCCCTTTTGGTAGAGCCTCTGACTAAAATAGGAATGTAATCTGCTTTGAATAAAAATAGAAATATAAATCCTAATAGTTTCTGTCATTAATCTGGTTAAGACTAAATTTCTACAGATTAGATGATCAATTCATTAAACCAATGTAGAGCAGGGTTCTCATCCTATTGCTCCACAAAAGTTTACTAAATCAGTAATAAATTTGGGGTCTGAAAGCCTCTGTCTAAAACAGAAGGAAAAACCAGATCAAGAAACGCTACATAAGGAGGCATAGATATTTACTGCTTTCCATTGGCAAACATGATATCAAAGACAAATACGCAGATGTCGACCTGCACATGAAAGAAAATGTTTGAAAACAAATTCAATATTTCAGAACAAAAATGAAATCTACCCATACATTACACAATTTTTTTACATGAATTTTATCTATCACTACGTGAACCTGTATAAATAATTTATCAACATTTTTTATTAGATTTGATTTATTATGTAAGGAAGGCTTTAGAATAAACATCTTATGTTTCCCAATTAAGGAGCACATTGGATAGCATCCCGATAAGTCATACAACCTTTATGCTATCCAATGTAATTGATGTATCTCTGCCCCCTCTCCCACGTGACGACAATTCTTGAAAAGACATTAGCTTGTGACCATTATTCCTATCGACTGCAACTACCTGAAACCAGAAAATCTCAGAGAACTTAGTTATCCCCCTCCCAAAAGAAAGAATCTAACAAATCCAGAAGAGCGTCTGTCTGTGCTTGTCCATGAGTACAATACCAAGGAACTTTTACCTCCGCATCTAGTATAAAAGTTTCTGCATCAGGCTTACAAGATGCATTAACTATGTTAATCAGATCTGGAAATCTTGATGTTGACTCGTCCCCATTTCGTGAAAAAACGCGCAGAGACCCATCAACCAATTTGTGAATTTGGGCACGCTGACCATCATATCTGAAATTATGGTCATAAGCGTAGTAGTGGTTTCAAATCTAAAGGTTAAGCATACTCTCATAAATGCACATGAGGCACAGTTTGATGAATGCAATGAACCATTTCAGCAGGTATTACAGAGTTACTTTAAAAATTAAAAGGAACAGTTGGAGCTTCTATAGCCAGAAAAAGGAGAGAAGGGGGAGGAGGGGAGGGGAACAAGAGAAAGAGAGATGACCACCCATCTAATTCGTTTTGAGAATAAAGTATACCACAATGTAACCAATATTTAAAAAAAAATGACCACACAAATTCTCAGAAGAAAATTCTTGAAGTAAAACCTTGAAAATTTCTTAACCCTGAAATCTTTTCATCTAAATAAGAGTTGTCGGAACAAATTATAGGTGACATGGAACAGAAGTCTCCAACAATTTTGGATTGACATCTTTTGAACCTCTTATAAGATGTAGTGAATTTTAATTAGGCAGGAAAAATGACCAAGGCAAAACAATGCATCTACAGGTAAGGGAGGACCTTACTTGTATTCACATGTAAAAGCTTTATTTTCAAAGAGCTTCAGTGCTTGCTGAACACCATTCGTGATCCTACCACAAACAAACATTAAAAACACTGAGTTGGAGCATTAGTTTCTATTCTACTTGCATTCCTTAATACAAAGTAAGAAGCAGTTTCAAAAGCATATACTTTGCAAGCATTGGCTTAATAGGTATTCCTGGAACCATTGCCAAGGTTGACGAAGAAAATCCAACGCCCTTGTCCATGAGGGAAGGAACGACCAAATCCTGCATACAATGAATCACGTGGCACATTCTGACATCTCGAGATGATAAAACCAGGACGACAAATTTGAAATTTGATTTCAAAATAATATTAACATCTAACTTGAATTAGCTAAGAACAATGTATGATGTTTATGTTTACTATCAAAAGTGAGGCATCAGGAGATGAAAACAATCAGCCATATATAAAAGACACTCTCATCATACAAATCCAATTAAGTGATGATAATGCACAAGGAACTGCATTGGTAAACCTTAAATAACTGAGACTGGTCCAAACACAAAAGTTGCACTTCAGGAAACTTCAAATAAATGACAACCGAAACACAATTTGGAGAAAATACATCAAAAGAAGGCCAAATTGAGAAAAGCCAAACTACACTACACAAAGGCTTGATCTTGCCAACATCACAGCCCAGCCAAATTATCCTCATAAAAGTCAACATCCAGTTATACTGAACCACACCAAGTTGAGATATAGATTTTAGAAGATCATGGTTCATGAAACAAAGACGGAAAATGGTTTTCGAATAAGGAAAATACAAGCATATGATATTTATGAACCCGTGAAACAAAATATTAGATATAGAAACCCTAATTGAAAATGGTTCCCAAAACCTTGTCAAGAGTCCAAACCCAAACTCAACACAGAAATTGTATCAAGCCTAACATTATAGCGGTAGATAAGGGTTTAAAATAGTTACAGTGACTATGGCTGTGGAAAAAATAGTCCCAGAAATAGTAAAAATAATTTCAGGCTATGAGAGGATGATGCCAGAGTGAACTCCCTCTTTCACCATAATAAAGGCAGTTGCACTTGGTGGATACTAATTATGTACCTCTGAACTATTTTAAGTTTTTATTACAAGTGCCAGGTCATGTAAAAGAAGTCATAACAAACTATAGAATCTTACAAAACAACATTGGATACACTTGCTTTTGCACTTAAGCAGAATGGTATCAAAAGCGGCATTGTGATTTCATACCCCATTTTATAGTGGAAAACAAGACATGAATAGAATACAGTCATCTAAAGGATAAAAATAGAACACCAAAACCAGCATCTACCTACACCAAAAAATTTACAAAATATATCAACATCATCAGCATTCCCATCTGAAAATAACAGAAAGTGCACTCTCCTAAAATTCAGATGACAACTAGGCACAAAGAGAGGCCCAGCAACGAACCCTCTCACACAAATACCCCACTTTCTTTTCTTTTTTTCTTTTTTACCCTACAAACATTTGGGGAGCGAGAAACTCTAGCATTTACTAGGTGGGTACTGTTGAGAATGAATCCCGCATTGATGAGAGGAGGGACCTTGCATGTGCTTATATAGTAGTTTACTCCCTATATTGTCAATTGGTTTTATGGTGGAACCTCAACTTTCTTAAGGTACTGTGGGAGAGAGTCAAACCCCAGACCACTTAGGAGCAAACCAAGGACCCAACCGCTAGACTAACAACTCACAATACCCCACTTTCTCATCCCTCTGACCCTCCAAATTCCAATATCTGTCTATAGGAATAAAAGCGATAACTGAACATCTTCCCAAAAGAAAAACCCCTCTTCCATCCTCACAAAAATATTGTCCTCCCAAAATAATGCCATGTGCAGCTGGAACTAGCAAGAACAGATTTGCCTTCCTGAACAGCCAAAGATTCAGTTCTGTAAGACAATGTAAAACCGGATGATTTGCACTCTCAGCATCTTTCTTACACAGCACACACCAATGTGGAGAGAGAAACATGTACCTGGAACCACCCAGCACATATATTGCCCTCCCTGAATAGCCTTAACCAAAGGACCATATTAATTTTTCATAAGAATGGTAGGAATTTTTACTCTAGTTACAATGTTTTATTCTTTCACGCCTTCACCAAGAAACTCTCTAGGGAAACCACCTATATACTAGATTGGAGGTGGTGCAGGCCTTCCAATAAAACAAGAATTTAGTTTCTAGAGACACAATAGGCAACTAAAAGTTGGTGAAAAATTCACAAGTACTCACCAAATTGGGCAGAACATTGTACGCTTCGACTACAGCAGCTGAATGACGCTGGAAGTTTAAGAAAGCCAGGGAAAAAAAAACATTAATATTAGAATAAACTAGATATTCAAATAAATTTATATCTTTGATAATAAAAAAAAATTTGTAACTTTTGTAATAAAAATAAAAAACATTGTGGAACTATTTAGTTCAAATAGATAAATATTAAAACCTGAAGCTTATCTTTCATATTTTCTACTCTTCCTTCATTATTGAAGTTATACGAGGAGTTAATGACAACAGCTTGAGCCAGAGCAGGTAGAACAGTTTTCATCATTGCTCCAATTCGTAAATTCCTGACCTATACAAAGAATATACAGAAACTGAGTGGTGATAATAATATAAAGCAGTTTCCAATTGAAATGATTCTCACTGTAACTCTATTCCTATTACACCAGAATTCGCTTCCATTCACTTGACAGATGAAGCTTTTGGTTTGTCTATTCAAGCGAGGGCAGAGTTTTTTATTTTTCATGTCATACTGTATAACAAAGAACTTTCATGTTGTCAAAAGAGTTGAACAATTAAAACAGAGGAAGTGGCTGCTCATATTGATCAGTCAACCAAAAAAAGGACCAGCACCTCCTCCCCCACAACAAAACAAAACAAAAAGAAAAAACAAAAAGAGAACCAAAGATACATAGCACAAACCCAGCTGTTTCAATTGGAGACTGGAAGACTTACAAAACTGAAATCATGAGTTTTTTTTGTTATATATACAAGAAAAACATTGGGTCATCTAAATCTAGGCATGTTTAGGTGAAAAACACTGAGAACCAAAAGCTCTGTAAGAGTGTTACCAAAGTTCTAACAAGAAACTTCATCTCTTTCTCTCTACAAGAGCGCATTAGATTCAAAATGAGGCTTTTCTTTCGAACGGTGCTTCCACTACCTGTTTGTACACTGATGAATAATACATAAGTAAAGTGATGAGGTGCAAGTAATATGAGAAGATAAAATAAATTAACAATTAAAATGAATGATGAACCTGTACAATTTCCATGCTGTAAATAACCATACATTAGAGAAAAGAGAACATATTGGTTATATAAAATGGTAATAAGCAAAATAGTTATGCCAAAAGTACCTAAAAGCCATCTTACATTAACATGTTACCATTAAACCTCTATGAGACTCCATAAATGCCCCAGTCCTTCAGAGCACAACAACACCAACAAGTCAATCATCTACCCATCACCACATATTGTTGTTTTGTAAATGCAGGCTATTGAACTTAATTCCATTACGAGCAGACTTACGGCCTTAAGACAACAGTGAGTTCAAGGCCCACACTTTAAAATCTCAGGAAGGAGGAAAAGGAATACTATGTAAAGAGAAGAGAATATTTAATCTTAAAATGCAAATCGCAGAGAAGTGGCCTCAGTGCCAACAAATCATTAGAGGGTTTTCCAATACAACTCCCTTTGTTTTACAAATGTTTCTTGGGTAAGTTTTTGTAATTTCTACAAACTTAGTGAAACATGAAAATTTAGAGAACTCTGGAGGTACACTGGTTTTCTTATATATAAAATAACATAATTCATTATAAGGAAAAGAATAGAGCAGTTCTGCTGGTACACTGTTAAAAAAAACTCGAGGAATTCAACTTATTTGACAAATAAACTTGGAAAGCAGATTCAAGTTTTAAGGGGCTAAAATACAGTAAAAGTTTCCATTTCGTCAAATTTAAATCTACAAAGCAATTATAAAGTAATTATGTAAAATTTATCTCAATCGTTGAGCTCAAGAAATAAGGATTTAACACTTCTTATCTCAAATAGATTGAACATCAGTAGCCAGAAAATCCTGTTTCTTTTTCTCCAGTCACAAACAATCCAGAAAAGTTAAGGGGGTCATCAGCCAACTTTTTATAACCCAAACCTCAATTGAACTGAAACAAGATCACTAATATGAAATACATGCTAGATTCTGTCAAATTTTCATAAAAAGCATGCACCACACATCAACATTTCAGGTTGTCTAAACATTGTAACTGGACTAAGTTCATATATCGGTCATGAACAAAAACCAATCTGGACTATCCATACCTTATCTTTTGGAGTGCAGAAAATACATCCTTTATTAACAACGGTGAAGGAGGGGCAAGTAACTTTTGTGTCTGCCGGCATGCTTGAGCAACATCACCTTTAAGATATTATACTGTTATTAAAATTTATTCAGGGACCATGGCAGGATCACATCACCCAATTCCCAACCCCCCCCCCCCACCCACCTCTAAACATAAAAAGAAAAATGCTTAGAAGAGCAAAGAGAGAGGAGTGAGAAAAATGGCCCATTCCTACCTAGATCACCCAGCTCACTGTACATCTCCCTTATTTTGGATCGGCTTGTCCCACATGCTTCTTCCAGTGCTGATGTGACCAAACTTCCACCGATGTTTAGCTCCTGTATAATTCTTATAAATGAGAATTCCTTCCTTGTTTACAGGAGAGGGGCCCTTAGGCAGCATATTTGTGATTTGTCTTTAAAAAATTCCTTGTATTTCTTCTTGCTAACTCTATCTATTGGCCAGCCAAATGGAAAGGAAAATAAAAAGTATATGGGCAGACAACAGTTGTCAGGGAAAAAACGCATCAAACAAGCACATTGAGCAGAAAAAGTTGACAATCCACAAGTAAATCACACTTCTTGCACATAAAAATGCTAAACCACAACAATAAAAAGTCCAAATGCAAACAGAAACCACTTAACCAAATCTCGCAGTTAGAAAGTTGGAAACCATTGATTTTCTAGTCTAACTAAAAGTATAACCCAGTCTATAATTGTTATTAAGGCATGCTCGAATACAAAAGACAACAGATCTAACTTTGCATGGGTTTAGGAATACAAAGTGAACATTATAGCCACAGCTAAAACTGATAAAAAATTTAACCCATCAACAAATACATGCTCTAGTATGAAAGTTTTCATTCAACTACTTCATAGTTTTAGCCAATGCTCTTTAGTGATAAGAAATAAGTTGCACACGTATGTCTAGGCAAGCAAACAAAATAATAAATACAAATGATAAAGAATAAATACAACTAACCACATTTTCATGGTCAGCAGCGATCTTATTTGTGCACAAATACACTGAAGGCAGCACGTCATCAGGAGACAAGGCAAGCAAACTGCGTAACAAGAAGCATCACAAGCAATTATGGGCCACTTTTTTCTATTTCTTTTTTCTCTTGCAACAGAATTATATACCACATAACCAAAGTGGACAGTGGATCCTGAATAATAAATAAAAGCCCGAAAACATCACAATGGATCATACACCAAACCTTCTGAACATGTTGCAGAGCATGGAAGTAGCTTTTATCTTGCCCTTTTCATCCTCAAGTAAGTCAAAAGTTCTTGCAAGATGTAAATATGGAGCATTCTGTCCATTCCTCCAGCAAGCTGCACATGTTATCTCCAAGTTAATCAAGATTCCTATCTAAACAATTATAGCATATAACACAAAAAAGTTCTGTAAAATTGAACATCGTGTTCTAACTAAGTGGCACTAACCATGTTCTATAGGATTGTATTTTTCTGGTGGTAGAGACACAAAAGTTATATTTACATTCACTGGTAATGAAACCTGCACAGACGAATCAGTTGTTGGTTCCATTTTCCTTGACTGAGTTTTCTCTTTGTCGGAAGAGCAATTATTTATGTGGCAGTGGAACTGAACTGATTTTTCATTAACCACCAATTCTTCTTCATTCTCACCGGACCTTCCTTCACGATTAGAGTAATATATATTTAGCGCTTTATTGATATCTCCATTTGCCTCCTCCAGAATGGTGGCAGCATAGCTCTCTAGCGATTCATCACCATCTATTATCTGAAGAAACTGATGTATCTCATCCCTGTATGATTTGGTGTCATCGTTGAGCAAATTTTCATATTTAGGGTTTTGTTCATGCAATGAACCAGCCACCGCAGTTTCTGGAACATTTGGTAAGACTTTACTAAAAAACCTTGTTATTGCCAGTTGCTTCGGCCCGCCTGAATCCAATTTTGAATTTAATTTCAACTTTTTGTTTACCTTATTGTTAACTTTACTCGCCCTTTTCCCAGGAGATATTCCACTTTTAATCATATTCCTTGGCATAAGTGAGATATAATCTTGACTTAAAGGAATGTCAGTACTTCCACATGGACTGCTCTTATCAGAGCCTGCTTTTGGAAGTGATGCAGAGTCACAAGTTGAGGTAGTCTGGGACACAGAATCAGCAATTCTAGAAGCATTTACTTGCTCATGAAATTCTGTCTCGCGTTCGTAGAAATTAGAAACTGCTTCAACGATGTCCCCTCCCGTGCTACCAATCAAAACTAGCATCTGCTCATGGGTGACCCATGTGGGCAAACAATCACGAAGTTCTTGGACGATTTTTTCTGCTTCCTCATCATTTAACACCACTTGATTTTGTCGATCAGGTTCTTGTAGAGAAGATGATAATTCAATGCCTAAACTGATAATACTATTTCCTACTATATCCTTATCATATGACAGTGCCTCTTTCTCCTCACCGAGCCCCAAAATGGGGCCCTTGTTGGACTCATTTTCTACACTGTCAGCTACTTCTTTAGACCCAAGACGAAAGCTCTTCAAGAACTCCTTCTTGTTTGCCATTTCATCAACTAACCCAGCAAAATGCTTTTGCATTTTACTGGCGTGCTTACTATCAAGCTTTTCAACATCCAAGCCCACTGTAGGAACAACACGCTTTGGTTTCAAAAACCTCACATATTCTCTAAGTTCTTCATAGTTTGAATGTTCACTATATGGTACAAGATGGATCTCAAACGAATCCTTCGACCTAACCGAAAACTTATTACGTTTCACTTCATAAGTCCAACCAGTAGGAACAAAACCCACAACCTTAGAGTATCCTCTTTCGGCCATAATCTCCTTCATTTTCACAAAATTAGGCTTAAAATATGGCCAAGTCTCACCCAAGACATTCCACCCAACAACATGTACATCACTTTCACATTCATCCTCTGTAAATACCCCATTCTCTCCATAACCCAAAACACGAAAAACTGCCATTTTACGAGCATCCACATGCACCTTACGATTACACCTATGCGCAATTTCAAGCAAAATCTTCTCTTTTCCAATTACATAAGTAGCTACAAGAAACAAAACATTTTTCATTTCACTTTTACATTCACCCCCAACTCGTTCTATCACACTAGCAATATAATCTACAGACTCTTGTTGTGAAGGAAACACAAATTTCGGATTACAATACGTAGTGTCCAAGAAAACAGCATCGGAACCCACAAATTCACACAGAAAAGGGTCTAACTTCATTGAACCCGAAAACCTAAAATCGCCAGTATGAACATACCTCTCAAACTTTCCGTTCATATCCGGAATTTTAAACAAGAACTGAACCGCACCCGGACAGTGATTAGCGTCAATCAGCACAACCTTCACCCCATCGATTACAACGGCTTCGCCCAGCGGCAGAGCGACAACGAAATGAGGAGAGACCTTGAGCACCTCAGTGAGAAGACGGGCGGTGATCGGAGAACAAAAGACGACGCCTTTAGCCCAATTGGGGGAGAGGCCGCCGTAGTGATCGGAGTGGAAATGGGAGAGGAAGTAGGAGACGGAGTGATCGCCGGCGTGGCGGAATGCGTCGACGGCGAAACGGGTTTTGGGGATGAGTTTGGAGTGAGGGAATGTGGAGGGAATTGGAGGGAAAGAGGGATGGGGAGGGTTGGGTTGGTGGGAGAAGGCGGCGAGGGCGGCGAGGAAGAGGTGGGTGGAATCAAGGGTTGGGGTTCTGGTCACGGAAGAGGAGGAGGAGGCCATGGGAGATTGGATATGGACGTCAAGAGGAAAGCATTGTTTGGAATTTTGAGGTTTTCTGGTGGAAGTCGTAAGCAGGTATGTTGAAGGCGGCAAACACTAACAGTTTATTGTGTACCTCAAAAAACTTTTTGGGTATTTTCTGGAAATGATGGTCACAACACTTTCTTTTTCTTTCATTTTTTTCCAATTCATTCCCTCCCATTTCCATACTTTTTCCATCTCTTTTTTCCTTTCTGTTTTGTGTAATCACAGTTAAGCCACGTCAACATTTTATATTCTTATTACTTTTTATTTTATTATTATTTTTTTAAAATCAATATAAAATATTGACGTAGCTTAACCGTGACCACACAAGAAGGAGGGGATGAGAAGAGTGTGAAAATGGGAGAGCAGACAATCCACCTCCTTCATTTATATGGCTCGACTGTAATGAAAAAAAAAAGTATGTGAATAATATTACATTCAAAAAAAAAAATTTAGTATTTACAAATTTCAATTAGATTATTTACTTTCAATCTTAAAAAAACAATACTTCTTATGAGTCTCTTGTCCAGAATATTTTGATTTTGTTTTCGCCTGTTATATTTTCACTCAGATATTTTTGGTTAGTAGATAGTATTGATCACTAAATTTATATTAGTTTAGACATTAGTTAGTTCCTTATCAATTTTCTTTCGAAGTTGACACTGCTCATTGTCAAAAACTGTTATCATGCGGCTAATACGAATTTCAATTTGGTATATGGCTATATGGAAATTGAATGTACCAGTGCGTAGACCAAACAATTTATTAGTTAAAAGTTCAAATAGTCAACTTATGCGTTTGATATTAATATTGAAAGACATAACCATAATTTCGTCTAAGGTTTAAGAACTATAAACGAACTGTTGAAATTTCACTTCAAGAGTTTGGCAAAACAAGTTGCACTTATAATTACGTAATTCAATTCCTTATTCTACCAAGGGTTTTTAGAATAAACCTCACTTTTTCTTGGCTAACATATGGTAAATTCAATTTTGGATCCTTGATTCTCTCTTAAATTTAAGAAAATACCGATATTGAACCATTGATCTGTCTGAATAAATATTTGAAAAAAAAAACCGCATGCTACATATTTTGGCCCATATTAAATCTCAAAGAAAACTTAAAAGGAATTCCAATAGTATATATATTATTGTTTTGTATTCTTATGGACAAACCAGAGAATGAAAATTGAACTCAAGATTTGGTATGAAGAGTGAATGCTCACATTGTGCAAAAAGAGGAGGCGATTTAGTATTTAATCCACAACCATATGTTTGTATGCATCATTACATCCTTAACATATATAGAAGACTCGAACCTTTCCAGTAGTGAAGAGGTGTAAGCTCACGTTGAGGAGAAATTTTTAGTTGTGACGGAAATATAAGTGGTACACCACGTGTTTTAATAAAAATTGTGAAAATTTTTTATTTTTAAGTTAATAACATTTTAGCATACATTCCACAATTTGTATAATGACACATGGTGTATCACCCCGTATACTGGTCACTATGAACAAAAACTTCCACCACCCCACTTTCCTACAAATCTCCCTTTGGCTAAAATTCCATAAATAACCCTACTGTGCATGCCATGAATAATAATCACTTTGAAGAAACAGAAACTGCAGGCTCTTCTGCTATGGTCTCCAGCAATGGCTTCTTTGACCTACTCATAGACAATCTGTGCATGAATTCCGGCGCCGAGAAATCTTCTATATCATCCAAATTCAACTTCGGCATCGCCGCCTCATTATCCGAACTTTCCCTCCAACTCTCAATCATCTTGCCCTCATCGCCGTCATCATGAGCAAATTTCGTGGCCTGATGGGGATCATCAGCCGGCCTCACCTTCACGTTTCTCCCGGAAGCCCGCTTGCTTGCGGAGCTGGCCGCGGTGGCCTTGAGGAACAGTAGCCCCATATCAGCCGTTGTGACGGTGGAGTTGAGCCTTATCATGGGGAACATGACGTATACGTCACCGATATCTAAGTCTTCGTCGGCATTGAGAGGTGAAAATCTTCTTCCGACACGAAGAGACTTGGTGTTTACGAGGAAGAAGTTTGGGGTGTCGAGCATGAGCTCGGCGGCTTTTATGGGGACATGGAATTGTTTGATTTCGCCGCTTGGGATGATCACTTTGGTGGCTGTAGATTTCCCATGCTTGCTCAATATTGGGGTTGCTAGGCTGCAAGAAATGTAGTTGCCCATGTTGTCTAGGGAGAGAGGGAGGTATATAGAGTTGAGATGAAACTTTTGGCCTGGAAGTTTGAGGGGAGTTGAAGATTATATAAGGGAATTGAAGATGTCTCTCAGCTAAAAATATGATTAAAAGCGCTTACTTCTGCACCCAAAATATTAAGTTCGATTCTCTTTTTTCTCTGTTGTTTGAATGAAAAAAACTATGAAAAAGGATTAGAAGATTCTGAAATAAGATAATAGTAGAGCCAGTTGTAATGTATCTGGGTTTGACATTGTTGGTGGAGTCCGCGTTGGGCCAAAAAGGAAGAAAAAAAAATATGAAAAGAAAGCAAGAAAATGTATCGGAAGGTACGTTACTACGTTTCAGGTTGGCTTTTTATTATTTATTAATTAATTAACAAAATGATTATGCTTATAGTTTCATCTATGAACAAATATCCCCTGTTAAATAACGTGTGGGACCTTTCCTCATTGTCCTTGACTTACTCATTCTTTTTTTAGTTCTTGAAATGGGATTAGGAGTTTATCTATAACACCAATATTATTTATGTAGGATAATTGACTTGTATTAAAGAGTTATAATAAATGTTGTCAGTTTTGTGTATCTGTATCAATATACTCTATTTACAAATCATTTAGTTCTTCTATTACTATTGTGCTAAAGTCGTTAGGTTTAGACACTAAACGTCTCATGTGCCAATGTACATATCAGTGTCTTGTTTGCTTTTTGACAAGAAGCGATACAGTGGTGTGGCCAGTTGATGATCATCATTAGTTCACAAAGTTTGATCATCAACAATAAATACATAGGGTTGTGCTAATTGTGTACATTGCTGCAGTGATAAAAAAATTGGTATGGAGTGAATTTGCACGACCAAATTACAAATTAGAGTAAACTCATAAACGGCTACCAAAAACATATATCTACAAATGCTACCAGTATAGATTTGTTACCCCAAAAAAGAAAAAAAAAAAAACGCGATAGATGCAATTAGAGTGTCTTATTTGTTAGAAGAATTACAATGAATCCATAGTAAGTATTCAAGGTTGAATAAAGAAACGATGTCTCATCATTTGGTGACCAATATTTCTTCCATGTATATCCCTTCCCTAGTCTTCTTAAACATATTTCTACATCTCTTCCATGATTTATGGATGATTAATTCAATGAAGCATATATGTGAATGTGATAGCTTGGGAACCAAATAAACACTTATGACTTGCATATCATTTACGTGTGAATTAACAGGACAGCATGTGACCTTTTGAGATGCATGCATAAATGAATAGTAGGGTATGTATTTAAACTTTTTTGGCGGTGGCGGTGGCGGTGGCGAGCCGTTGAACGAGTCCATGGTGTTGAAGACTCACAATCGAAGAGGGGCAGCTCATCATATTCTTCCTCTGCCTGCTTGCTGCCTGCTTGCGTCACGGGATCGTTGGTGTCACATTTCCAAGTATCTTCCACACAATTCTCCCACTCACTCTACCCAATTTATTTATTTGTTCTATGCCAATACAATAAATTGTCGTATCCTATACAATTTTTTTTAACAGAACAATAATGTTAGTGAGTTAAATAGTTCCGCAAATACAATAGCGTCATATGCAATATTAACTTAAATTTTTGGTTATTTAATATTAAATCTTGTATTTCTTTTTGCTGATTTTTATATTGGTTGACATATGATGCATTTAAAAAATGATATTAAAATTCATTTCCATCTCATAAAAACACTTCATCGATTCTTTCCTCTCTCCCTCTAACTGGACTACATCTCAATCTTGGTAGAGGCTTGAGTGCACTCCACTGGCAATGTGGAATATGTTAGAGTATGAGTGTGATTCTCATAGTTTAGTAATAATCATTGTTATTTCAGATTGGTATAAAGAGGTCTTAATGTGTTTATAAGAGTTAATTCAACTTTGGTTTGGATTGAAACTCTACTGTTGGCTCGAGAATAGAACTCATACTTGTACAAGGATTTGGCCTTGTATTCCTTGTAGGATTATTATAGGGTAATCTAGATTTTGTAGTACAAAAACCACAACCCCTGCTCTCACAAAAGCATGGTCTTATTGTTCCAATTACCTATAACTTGGAAAGCATTGAGTTTTGTAGAGAGGAGAAGGTTGTGTGTAGATTTGTCCATGGCTTCTTCATCCATGAACATATTGACAGAGTTGAAAAGCTTGCTAAAATTATACAAAGATTGGAGAAAGGTGATCTGAAGTTTAGAGTTCGGGCTTTGGAATCTGAGAGGGCATTCCAGCAGGTTACAACTATCCAGAAGACTGTTGGGAATGTGAGTTGAACTTACTCATGACCTAATCGCATACACACATGGGAAAGACTTCGTTAAACAGTTTGCAAGTTTGTGTTGCAGAAATTACTTCAGTATTTACATATACATAATATATTTGGAGTGATGATTGTGATTTAGTTGGTTAAATCTCATGTTCTTGGCTAGTTTGTTATAGAGCTTGGTTATAGATCTGTTTGGACTTGCATAGCTACAATATTCAAGCATTAACAACACAAAATTTGAAAAATACTTAGCTCCTGATGACATGTAAAAAAATCATCATTATTTTTTTGCATACGTAATTTATAGCGAAGAAGGAAAAGCTCATCGAATGCAAATAACCAAATACTGTTCTATCTTAAACCTAGACTCAACCATTTTTTGGGGTCCTTTTTATTGATACAATGATATATTAATATTAAAAAGAAATACTATTAGATCATAGTACTAAATAGCTTACTTTGAAATATTAAGTTAATCAAAATTTTATTGCGATAAATCCTTCAACTTTATTTTTTTAGTGAGGATATTTTCGTATTTTCACTTTGGTTGGATTTCATTTGTTTAAAATATTGCTTTTTAGGTCTTATTTTGTGTGCCACTTGGGACCCACTTTCCTTTTTGATTCCCTTTCCCCCGGCCCTTTTTCTTTTGGGAATTTTAAAGGAAAGCCTGCGGTAATGTTCATTTTAACAAAAAACCACATTTTTACACTAAAAATTCAAAACTGGTGATATTCACTTTACCCTTTATTTTGTTCTTATCGTTAAAACTCAAAATTTTCAAGCATTTTTCATTAGTTTTCCTTTTTCTTTTTCCTTTGGACCCGTAAGTCCTCTCTCTTTCTCTCAACACTCTCATTTCTCTCCCTCTCACTTTCTCTTACGCTATCATTTCCCTCTCACTCCCGTGCCTTCTCTCTACAACTCTCATTCCCCTCTCTGAGATCACACACAAACAACACAACAACTTAAACATCACCATCATTCCCATGTGTTTTCATAAACAAAGAAAGAACCCCACAAACCTTTCTCTCCCTCTTGGCTGACACTATTCATCTTCTTCCTTGATGAGTTTCTCACATTTCCGACGAAGGTAAGCCTCGAAATTGGTCCCTGTCATTGTAAATCATGTCTAGGTTCACGGTTATTAAGTTTTTGGGTGGTTTTGGTGGTGTAGGAACTCTGAAAAGTTCAAGGAAAGTCAATGTGCAAATCTAGAAATTCCCAGGCCGTGGTCGTTTGGCCATCTTTCAGGCCATTTTCAGGCCAACTCCGGCCACCACTTGGTCTCCAATTAGTATGAATCTCTTCTCCACATTCCTAAATACATTTTGGCTTTTGAATCACTCAATTTGGTTAAGAACCGAAGAATTTATGAAGCTTTGAAAATTGTCCAAACTTTCGACTAAAAACTCAGTTTTCCGACGAGCACCGCCCTTTCGAGGTGTTTTCCGGCCAAACCACGATGATTTGGCCAGTTTTCAGGGTATCAATCTCTTCATCTTGTTGAGTACTACAACTTTCGCTTTTATTTCACTTGATTTCGTTGATTATCGAAGAAGTTATAAGCGTTTGAAGTGTGCCCCAAAAACCGATCAAACCTTGACCGTTGGCCGTTGAACAGTCAACGTTGATTTTTGGGTTGGCTATTTCGGGTTTTGTCTGGGACCCCTCCTAGGCTAAATTTGACATTTTGGATCCGTTTTTATGTCCGTTTTCCCAAATTCAATTGTTTGATTTGAGTTTTATTAATTAGACCCTTTATGTGCTTAGGTGCATTTATTGTGGCATTTCCATTTTCGCTAGCTTGCATGGCTTTTCAACGGCAAAATATCTGTAAGTGGATCCCTTCTAAAATACATGTTTTAATAATAGAAATGCATACATGAAAAACATGATTTAATGATTACGTTTTATAAGATATTATGCTTATTGCGAATATTTTGAATTACCATATTTTATCGAACTGATATTATTTGTAGTATATATGATGGATGACTATATACTATTTAGAACATGCTTTTACACACTTCTTTATAATATACATGATGGATGACTATATGCTATGGAGATGATTTTAAGATATATATGTATTTATGTTGGAAAGACTATATTCAATGTTTTTTTTGCGTATCTAGTGGTCATTGTTCTGCCTATGGGTGATAATACTTATATTGGCTTCGGTCGGGTGTAGGTTGGTGCCTATTTGGCAAATGATACTTATATTGGCTTCGGCCGGGAGTAGGTAGGTGCCTGTTTGGCAAATGATATTTATATTGTTTCGACCATGCGTAAGTTGGTGCCTGTTTGGCAAATGAGTGTTTTGAAGGAAGTGTTCTAAATGAAGAGTTCTCCATGCCTTCGGGTGATACTGATATCACTAGTTAGCACAATGTATACGAGATATGTTTTATAAAGATTTTTATGGCATCCTAGGGTTTTCGGAAAACCTACTACTTATTATACTATGAGTTTTCTTTAAACTTTGGGGGTTAATATGTTGATAACTATTTCAATATTATTTATATATAACTTGGTCTACTCATATTTGTTTTGCGCCCCCTCAAGATTTCGAATTGAGGTGTACAATCTTGGTGTCAAGGCATTCTCGCGTCGGCATCTTTGAGTCCTCTCGGTGTAAGACTCACTCATTTGTTCATTCAATTTTATATTATTCCTTAGTGTTATAGTTAGTTGTATACTCTGAATACGTTCCTCATTTGCATATTAATTATATTTACAAGTCTTATTTATTTATTGTTCTCATGCATTCTAATATAGCTTTGCCACCTTTGGGTGTCGGCCAGCACATGCCTACCATGATGTTCGGAGAATATCATGGTTGGGTGTGTCACTCACTATATTGAAGATACGTTCAAAGAAGTTAGTGAAAAAAATATCATCCAACTTGAAAATGAAA